ACTCAACCAGCCCCAAGAGCAGCCCACTGCTGTTTTACAGTTTATTTCACCTACATCTTTCTTTGCCGTTTTCCGCTTTTGTCCTTACAAGCTGACCTATTTTTTTGCCCTCCCAAATAGGATGCCGTCAGTTCTCATAGCCTGCTCAGGCTCTAGCTGAGTTAAAAACATCTTCTGGTTGCAAAAAGGCAGCGTCTGGACATGCGGCAAGGCAGAAAAACTAGAAATTATCCTATTAAAATTGGAGAGTATAATTTTAGGTAGGCATGACACAGTTATTGTAGTTTGCAGCTGGAAATAAGCATGCAAGATGCCTGAAGCACTGAAATACTTGTATTTTAAGCACAATATGAACTTATCAGTTGCAAGATGCCAAGGTCCTCTCTCTGCTGGGACACCAGCCATTTCCAGTGGCCATCACCATGTTCTAGTTGGAGGTTTTACCCCCAGGATCAGTGCAGACCTAGCAAACCACTGTGGCAGCTTTGGGGCTGGGCAGTGAGAGGTATGAATGGGGTTCTCAGCTACCACTGTGCCTCTCGTGCAGGCCTTTGGGCCACAATTTTACTTCAGCCTAGTAAGGCATCCCTAGTTGTATCCTAGGAATAATTGGTTTCACTGGAAATAGTCCAATTAGAGCTGAAAATATTCATTTGAAATTTTATAGCCAAAAAAGATTACTGCTTTTATTGTCAAGTGTTAAAATTTAGCATTTGCTACTGATTGTAAGATTTCCAAAGTTAGAAATAAGTTTCATTTCACAAACACAAGAAAACAAGAACTCAAGAATAAATCCCTGCTTTCCCTTTTCTCTTATAAAACCCTGAGCTAGAGATCCTGGATTTGCTCACGTACAGGAACAGCAGCTTGCATGCTAAAATGGACTTTTTCTCTCTGAAATTATTTTAGAACAATGTGGGTCTGATAAGGATTATTCATAGTTTGACTATATATAAAAAGTGTGTCCAGACACTACTTAAAAAAAACTCTAACCATGATAAAACCTCTTTTGACTTTTGCAGAGCTATTTCAGAGTCTTTGAAAACTGTAGAAAACGTCCCTGACGCCAGCCAAACACGCACTTACACTATCAAATGTAATTCTAAAAAGGCCATAAAATATGGGCAGCCCTAAACCACTAAATGCCTGATCCAGGGCAGGTGGGAAGGAGAACACCTGCATCCCAGGACAGCTGTGCTTGTGAGCAAAGAAGCAGAATATATTTGACAGGGGAACATTCAAGGAGCTATAGAGAGAGTTTCTGGCACTTAAACGGGTCAACAGAGTAAAGTATCTACTGCATTTTTCCCCTAGTTAATGTAAAAAAAAATCTTAATGGAAGGTTTATGCTTCCCCTGGGGGAAAAGTGATACCCCCTCCAGCACCAGATACAGCCAGTGACTCGGAAGCGGTCGAGTCACAGCTGAAAACAAAGCTGGTAAAATAAATGCTGCTGGACTTACTCATGTTCACTGATTTAAAAAGGACGGGTGCAAGGAGGACAGACCTTCCGCTCACCAACCCCGAGCCTCTGCACGGGCAGGTGGGTCTATTTCCAAAAGCTTCACTTATTTTTGACTAACAGCCAGTGCAGTTGGGGCACTGCAGCTGTTGCAGGCAAGCCCCACATTTGCTGGTCCATGTGGTCAAACATGTAGATTTAAGACCCTGAAGCCAAATCACACACTTAGTCAGCAAACACTACTTGCAGAACTGAACTCTTTCCAAGCCTTTCTACCTAGCATCATGCTCAATCTCTGAAGATGACAAATAGTTATTCCTCATCTCCTAGGGCAACTCGTAGTGGTACAAATTCATGGATTTTACCCTGTGGATTTAAGGCAAACACATTTTCTGAAGAAGTCTCTGAAAAGTTACCTGACGCAAACCAAAGTTTACGGTATTTAATCAATCTTTCCAATTTTAAATGTAATACATCAATTCAGTGTTCACATGAAGGAATAGGCCCAGAATAGAAAATAGGCAATTTCATCGAAAATAATTTGGATCAGTGTGCTGGACAAAATCAAGACCATCAGTCTATTGAAGTGTGAGGAAAAAATAACCTACTGACATTATCCTTGTATTCTTTTCGTGCTCAAAGGCTACAGATACAGCTAGTCTGGATATGTGTAATAAAAACGCTCTTGCTTTGCCTGCCCTGGCACAACAGTATGTCTGAGGCGGGCTAACGGCAGGATGAAAAGTTAAACGTCCATCCCAGTGAAATGGGCAAATAAACAACATCATCAGGCCTTGCCCTCCTCGGAGCCGCAACAGCCCATCCAGAATTGCTGCAATTTTCTGCAAGCCCAGGAATTCACAGATTCCCCTCAAAATGGGGGTGCCGCTTCTGTCTTTGAAAGCTGAGAGCATCTTCGCAACCAAGGGAACATTTAGTCTCAAGTACAGTCAAAACAAGGAAAAAGAGATGGAAAATTTGTATTTATGTACTTCATGTAAATACATGCTGTGTCCTTCCTAGCTCAGAGCACTGCCTGCTGAATTCTTCACTCCCCTTTTAAATTCAATCCTTATAAATTCGATCCTATTTTTTAATTTAAAGGTCAAACCACACATGCAAGTTTGCAAGATTTTGGGTCTCAAAGGCCAGGAAAGTTCTCGATTAGGACTAACCAACACAACAAACCCCGAACATTATCCTACTGGTTTGGAAAACCACCGAGGTTCAACATTTCTGACAACAGCATATTAATAAACAGTCCTATGGGCACCCGTCAGGATTTCGTATTTTTAAGCTGTCTACTCATGCATAATATGAATATTTATTCATCCCTTTCTGGTTGTTTGCCAGAGATTTATTTTAAGCTCCCTGGTTCTGGTGTAACAGCTACTCTCCTCCTCCTCCTCTCTCTTGCCTACACTGTCTTTGACACTGTCGGCATCTCTCCCTGAGAGAGAGAAAAAAAAATAACAAAAAAACCCGAAAAAAACAAAACAAAAAAAATAGAGAGAGCCTGCAATGTTAATGGAAGAACACAGAAAGGTTAGGAAGAATATCTTCTGACCTTCACGGTTTCTTACTCAATGGCATATGAATCAGATAAAAAAGAATATAAGCATACTTTAAGGTCAGAAAACTCATCAGCTGATAAATTAGTCTTTTTGTACATCACAAAGTTGAGTTAAAATAAGGTGTTCAGTCATATTTCCATCAAAAGTCCTCTGCGTTTTACTCAGGGCAGAGAAACTCAAGCATTTCAGTATAAAACACAGTGTTTTACACAGTTCATTTGGAGTTCAGAATAGTTTCTGCTCTTTTATACTTTTTATGGGCTAGACTTCGAAATTGCATTTCTCAGTTTGCTGTTAATATCCACATCTTGGGCTTAAGAGTTTATTCTCTGCTTCATGCACTTGTGTCACTCCCATTAATGCTAATGGAATCGTGATAAAACAGAGCACTGAGGGGGAAACCCGTGCTTGCTAATTCTCTGCAGCGCAGAGAAGGGTGCTTTGTAACCCGTGTCATCCCCAAAAGCAGGCATGGCAGCTACCAACTCTTGTATTCCAAGTTTGTGGATACCCCTGGGGTACTAATAATAAGAAAGAATATGCCACGAGTTACAAAAGCATGACTGTTCAATAACAGGAGCGAAATAAGGAAATAAAATGTGATTTTAGCGAATGGCTTTTTTATGGCAGTGGAAGCTGTCCCTGCACTGGAGGTGTCACGGACCCGAATTCAACAGTGGCTGAGAGCAGAGAGGCACAAACCTGCGAGGCTTCATGGCTTTACTTACAGACACACCAACAGCACTGGTATAGTCTTTTTGTCGTGATGCACGGTCCTGCATATACATATCCCAAATATTAAAATAAATTCTGCTCTGAAAAAAAAACCCCTGCTGCTTAATTTGGGCATAACTTGCTGCAATATGCTCCGACCATAAAAGCCACAGATTTAAACTTTTATTGAAATATTTTAAAGTATTCCCTGTACACCACAGAAATAATTGATAGGGAAAGCCTCTAACCGAATGCTATCCATCAATGACAATATGTGGGAGAATTAAAACTGACAGCATTAGAGCTCTGTGATTGATTTATTGCTTTGTAATCAATCTTTCCTGATTTGTTATCCAATATAGGATTTTCCCCAAATAAGAGAGAGATGCAGAGTGATTATAAGTGTAATAATCTATATACTCGTTGCCTACAATAATTCTTCAGACAAAGGACTACTCATATGCGGGGCAAAAATTAATTTAAAGCATTTGTCAGTGTCACTCAGTGTGTTTAACAAATTATTACTTTAAATATCTTTGTCAAACATGAAAGCTTTTACTTTTGAAAAAAGATGTTGATATGGAAGTTCTGAATATACACAAATATATCCTTGGAATTCTTGCTATGTGGAAACTCAATTCTGGATAAGAATTAACAAAATTAAATCAGATTTGTGTGTATTTTAGAAAAGTATGTATTGCAAAAGCATTGTGAAGTTGAACCCCTCATATTATTTTGCAACAAGATGAAACAGATTAAAGAGTTTAGTAGGATTTTTAAAAGAATTATAGAAATTTAAGAATAACACGGATAAATGAACTATTTAAGATAAACACTTATAAAGGATACCAACTCATCTTCACGTATTTTCTCACAGATACACCTTAGGTTTAAGCATGCCCTTTGCAGAACTGCAGTCTGAGTATGCACCAGGCTACTTAACTTGGCATCACAATTCCCATATTGCATTCAGAATAATTTTATTTCCACGTGAAAACACATGCAGCAACTTGCTGCAAGTAGTATTATTTAGTGTGACCACGAGTACATTTGTGCCGTGAGCGTTGACACTTAAAGCTCAGCAAATTTGTGATGTACAAGAGAGCCTGACTGCGAAAGACACTTCAGTTCCCATGGGGTCCAGTCACATCAGCATCAAAGAAAAGAGCAGTGGCATGTGCATGGCTTCTGCTGACTCGCTCAGAAATTAAGATGGAGTATCGGTTATATGTAGTAAAATTTGTCATTACCTTTCACAAGCAAACTGCCAGTGCTGCTGGCTGTCCCAAAGTGGTTTGTGGCTATACAGGTATAGCTCCCAGCATCCGACTTGGTCACGTTGACAATTCGGAGGCTTCCATCATCCAGCACCGTGATCCTGGCAAGACATTAAATATATTTCAAGCTAGTGTAAAATTCTTCTGAGCCGCATTAATTATTTACAGTTTGAACAACAGTCTGCTGACAGTCCGAGGGCGTTTTGTTGACACACATCTCTTCAGACGCAATTCATAAATAGTGGATGCACTGTTTTACATGAGTTGCCTGTGTCTTTACTCGAGGGCAACGTTAATTTACCTGTGAGCAGCTCGCATGGGCTTACCTGGAGCTGCACTTTGATATTCAGTGCTCCCCATTCATGTTCAACCCTGGGCTGAATCCTCTCCCCTTCTCCCACACCTCTTGCTCTGGCACTGCCCAGTGCCCATATTCAGGATTTCTTGGTCCTCATGGATAACTCTGTCTCCTATTGCACTTTCTCTCTGCTCTACATGAAGGAAAACTAGGAACAACAATCTGGGTAAAGACCTTAAATAAGGGCTGAGTATTTGACTAGCAGCACCAAAATGCGAGTCCCCTGCACCTGAGTGGCATCGGGCACATCTGCCACCCCTCTCGCGCCGGGTTTGGAACAGCAGCTGGCATGGCAGCTCTGCCGGATCCAAGCTCTTCACAGGTGCCAAGCAGTTCCTGTCACTTTGCATCTCCTCAACGGACTCATTTCCTCATCCAATGATTTGCTCTGTGCAAGTTCAGGCACAGCCTTATTCTCCTGGTTCCTGCTTCAAGCAGTGTCCTATACCAAGTCTTTCTTTTACATTACTTTGTCACAGTTAAAAATAACTGCAATAGAAACAAAAGCATTTTGTTCCAGGTGAAACAAAACATTTTGTTTACATTATTTTCCCCCTTAACTCATTTTTTGGCAAGAAAAAAAATATGTCACATTTAATTTCTGTTTGGGCTGAAGGAATTCTTTTCCCTTCTCCCTGACATTTCTGGTTCAGTGCAGAAGTAATTATTTGCTTGCAACAGGGTCCTTTTCCCTGGCGACAAGGCAGAAGATGCACAGGAGCAGCAAAAGAGCTTGAGTCACCATGAGGATTTTAGGTATTACTCGTTGCAAAACCCTTATATATTCTCAAGGAAAGCCCAGAATCACAAGTGGCATCCGGTCAGCATGGGCTTTACACTTGATTATTACGCTCCTAAACAACTGGGATTTTAAGTGCATAAAAATAATCTTAGTCTAGTAGCTTTTTGTGAGCTCCCTGGCTTGGCACTGCAGTGGGAGACACACTTGATGATAACATTGCTGTGCTGATGCCAGCCAGGGAGGAGGGATTAGCCAAGGTCCCATCATGCTAAGAAAACCTAGTTTTCTTAAAGGCAACATAAACACGGGACAGGTCCCTGGAAGGTCACTGAGTTACTTCACTAATTCTTGTTGGATGCAACCACAACACACCATCCCCATCAGCCACCTATTGAGGTCTACTTTAAAACTGCCTCATCTTTAAATGCTCCTGGGGCTCTCCCAGAACCTCTCTAATCCTGTTCTTTGCAGCCTTCTGAATTTCAACCAGAACTAACGCCTGGGGCTCTAAGCCATTTTTCCTGCGTGAGTTATGCCCTCTAGCCTAAACAGCTCATCTCCTTCCCTGCTGCATACGCGGATTCCTCCACAAGAAGGAAACATCCCCCTCTGGACCTCGTTTTGTTCACCACATATTTCTTGCTCCTTTAGTTTGTCCTTGTACAGCAGGTTCTCAGTTTCCTTGCCCATCCTTTAGCCTTGTGTGCATCTCTGCTGCTTTAAATTCCTTTGCCTTCAATAGGGATGGCAGTAAGTGAACAGGATAATAGATGAAGTATCAATAGTGCTTATACCATGGTATTAAAACTTCCTTTTCTGTCCTGTCTGCTCTCTTCACACTAGCAGTTTTTAACCATCCTGTGTCAAGGTATCCTGTAATCAGCCATCTTTGAAACGACCCCAAAATATTTTATGGGAACTCCAGGCCAGCCTCATGTCTTCTAGCAAAATATTTGGTTGCTCATTTGATATCCAGTTTTATAGCACAAGCTGCAGTCTGTCCTTCGATCCATTTCATACCTGCATTGAAAATCTTGTATTAATTCCTGCCTTCTCCTGCTCAGTTATATTTAATTTGACTAATGTGAAAGAAAATGGAGAAGTCCTCCTGCATTCTTAACAGCAATCAAGCTCTGTGCAAGAAGACTGAGAAACCAGGATGAGAAATTATTTAGCAAACAATACTTGCATGCATGTTACAGCATGAGTGAGCATTGCCCTAAGAAGTGCCTATGAGTTTGAGTTTCCTTCCAGCGACAGCACCATTGAGGACAGTACAGGATGCTGTGACAGCAGCCACCCAACCTCGGCTCCAGCTGGGCTATCTGCAGCGGTGCCACAACAGGGAGGCCAGCGAGGACAGGACAGGGACAAAGGTTACATTTCACCTGTCAATAGTAGTGATATTAATAGAAGTTTCGCAGCTGCCTTTCAGGTCTCCAAATTGCTGCAGTCAGTAACGTTCACGATTCTAATTTATTTTTTGCAGAAGTCTGGTGCCATATATTTGCTTCTGCAGCAGTTGCTCCAGCTCAATAACTAGAAGAGAGCAGAATATTGCTGCTTGTCCCTTGCCTGCACCACTGTGCTGGCAGAGATCAATGTCTGCGTGACATTAAATGGCACTGGGACGCGGGACTTGCCACACTGGCCTCTCATGTGCAGCAGCCGGGACAGCGGCAGCACCAGGAGTTTCCAAAGGGTCACTTATTGCTGTTATAGATTTCAGCTGCTCAGAAACAACAGCACCTTTCTGCAAGCTGAAGGTGCCCTTGGCACATTAAAATTCAAATCAATATACAGGACAACGACAAGCTCAGCAATATGCACCGGCTCGGGGGGAGCACCCGGCCGCGGCGCTGCGCTCACACCGCGCAGCACACGCACTCCCTGAGCGCTCCGACCACCCCGAAAACCCAGGAAAAGTGAGGATCTGATCAAATTATTATTGACTTTTAGAACCTAAAGAAATGGACCATGGAAAGTTTATATAAAATCACATTTTTCTTAAACAATAACGACTGAAATGTTTTTTTTTAATCTATATTGTATCTATATAGAGAAATTATATATACACATATATAATAAAAACATAGAAGACATTATATATATATATATAAAATAAATACATGGAAGATCCTTTCTGATACTCGGAAAAGGCATAACTTTCAAAGATGAGTTTCTTAAAACTCCTTTACCTGTAATATAGAAGTGGTCCATACAACCAAGATGGACGTAGTTTTCTTTTTACTATCTTCTTTTCAATATTTAATATGGAAAAGACTATGATACAGGTGGACTTAAAGTATTAAATAATTTCTACTGAATCTTAGTACAAATAAATGTATTTCTGATGTTATTTCAGTATTTTATTTCTGTTGATCTTATTTCTTTCTATTTCTATATGGTTGAAAACTATTTGTTGCAGGATCTTTTCCATGGGTGGTGCATTTCAATTATGTCTCTTATCAAGCCAACATAAAATTCAAATGTTAGTGGGTTTTCTGTCTCTGTGTTTCCAATGCTATTACTGGTTGCCTTCTAAGTTGTCTCCATTTCGATGTGGAATTAGTTTGTGGCAAGCGTGGAATGGATCACTCCAGAGACCTTCTCTCGATGAGGTCAGTAAATCAGCTTTGGGCACATCTCAGGGAGTTAATGCTCTCTCTGTTTTCTAAACTGAAAGCCATACGTGGCTGGCTTTAACATCTGAGCACATGGACATCTTTTAACTCTGATAATGTGTGGCATAGAGCTCAACAGGGGTTTGCATAGAGGTCCCTCAACCCTATCCCCAGAGCTTCTCCAAGAACCTTTCATTCCCTGCTGGCACCTCAGTAAATAATTCCCTGCACATTCCTCTAAGAGACTAGCACTAAACTGCACAGATAAATGGGAAGTTAACTGATTTTTTTAAAAATACATCAGACCATTAAAATCTTACTGTGACTCATTGATTAGGAGCCTTATGGTTATGCAGCTCTTTCTGCTGAAGGTGCTTTTCCACACTGAGTGTTTTGTCCTTTAATTTGGATCCAATGTGTTAGAAGGTAACAAGTAATTATTTTAACACTTTGAAATTTGTTACAGTTAGTTGACAAAGTAGGAACGACTTTCACCGATTTTGCTACTTCACAAATTTTCTTTGTAGACATATCTGCATTAAACAAGAGGAAAGGCTCATTTTAGCCCACTGAAGGATCTCAAACTGCTAATTGGGTTGAAAGCAAACATCCCTTGATCAACCACTTTAAGCAGCTTGGTTGAAAAAGTTCTTTCAAGATACAAAGTTCAAATTAAAAGAAACACTTTCTTCTTCTTCTGAAGTATATTCCCAAAATACTTTCTAATAAAATGCCTAGGAAGACATAAAAGTAAAACCACATTTCCCATATTGCTTGAGAATAACATGTCATGCTGGAAGACACAGCCCTTCAAATCACTACAAACCCAAAATGAGCTATTAACTTTATAGTGGATGTTCCCCGGCACCACTAACCACAACACTGGTGGGAAGAATTAAAAGTGCAACTCTGCTCCCACACAGACTAGTGCAACTGAGCTACTCGTAAGGCAGCATGTAGTCACTCAACGAAATAAAATAAAAGCACCTATTTGGAAAATAAAGATGATATAAGATATCCTTATATAAAGAATCCTTACATAAAGAAAGGTCATCTATTTTAAACACACTGCATCTTTTATAAGAAAGGATTGGTTGGTTTTGGTTGCCAACAGGAGACTTTGTATCCACAGAGACTAGAAACATATTTGAAATTAGGAGATAAAAGGATTGCTTGTTTCTTAAAAGGAAGCTTTGGGTTCTACCCAAGGAAGAGTTGACCTTGCCATTTTTTGATCAAAAATCTTCTGGGGACAAAGGACCTTTAAAAATGCTGAAAACAATTCTCCCTGGCTTTCCCCAGCCACTTTCTGCTGCTGCAGCAGCACATGAGACGAGCTGCAAGGCAAACACTTCCTATCAGGCACCCTGAAGAATT